CATGACGACCTATAATAATAACAAACAAAAAAATACACCACATCTTGTACGTTCATGTATTTCACATCCACTTTTTTGATGTAATATTATTTGCATAGCACAAAAATGTCGGCATTCACCGCAAAAGCTAACCAAACCTTTAAACAGACTTAATCTGAAGGGATATAGTTCCGATATTTTTGTAAAGTCATTAAGAATGGCATATTTTGGTATTAATATTGATTCACTCATATAGGGTCTTTGCATCGGAAATAAACTCAACGTATTCTCAAACCATGACACGGGTTCAAATATTTTATGATGGTATGATACTAAATCCCTAACGGGAGGGATTGTGCTTGATTCTCTGTATGAAGACATGATCTTTATATCAGTTTAATAGAGGTCTGGAGCTAGCATGTCTGTAACTGTTAGTAGTCCTTTGTTAATCTATGTATCGTTAACGTTGTCATTTTCCTTAGTTTCTTTTGTTACCTATTCTGACATCGGACTCTGAATACTTTTAAACTGAGTTTTACTGTGCGTATTGATGTGTGTTTCTTTGTTCTATATTGGTTAGATGTATAGCTGGAGGGTTGAGATCTCACAAAACATGTTTAATCCCGCCGCAAGTTTGCGCCTGTCCCATGTGAGGAGCCTCTGAACTTTGTAAGTCTTGCATTTTTTTTAGTTCATTTATATGTTTTGGAGTTTAGTATGACGTCCATTTTTACTGACTGATTTTTATTTAGGGGCCAGCTGAGGCCCACATCCGGGTGCGGGATTTTCCCGCTGCTTTGAAGACTCATTGGTGGCCTTCGGCTGTTATCTGCTCTTTGGTTGGGTTGTTGTCTTTTCTACATATTCACAATTTCCATTCTCAATTTTATTAATCAATGATAAAATATATATGACAGACAAAAAATACAATGACTGATTTATTAGTTATTTGGTATCCAACACCGAATCTACGTACGGCAGAGATAAAGCAACATAGATACCTAAAACTTGTTATGGAGTATAAGTCATTCAATCAGTAACCCAGCAATATAATACTAGTATACCATTTGACGACAATGAAGCCAACTAAGAGGCGTTCAGTTAAACACTGGTGTAGACAGAAAGACCTAAATTACACTTTACTAGATATTCTGTGTGTAATTAGTTGTCGTTTTTTTTTTAATCTAAATCAGTAGACAATTCATACAATATGTTGGTGAAATATCCCCGGTTGTTATAAAAGAACGAATTAAATATTCTTGTGTTTTCCAAAAAGTTCACCAAGTCGTTGATGGTTTTCTGTAACGAAAGAAGAAGTCTATATCAACACATAACTACACTCAATGGCAGTATCTTTCACATGTTCTGTAAACGATTAACAAATTAAATTACTCGTTTAACATACTTTATGAGCTATATAAATAAAATCAACACCGGGTGTGAACCTGAGTCGTTGCATGGTGCTTAACGGCAGTGGCGGATCCACTGACTGCATTAAGAGGGGGTACAGTTCGCTCCATTCATGCTTCAGTGATTCCTTATATAAGCAACCATAATTTTCCCACAAAAAGGAGGAGGGGGTTTGATTGGCCTTTTAACGCATGCACTTAGTCAATTAAGATATTTTCCAACAAAAAGGGGGAGGGGCCTGATTCGCTTTTGAACACATGCACTTGTAAATGCTCTTTTGTTCCGACGTTGGAAAGTTCCGGGCGGAAAGAACTAACTAGCCGAAAAGTTCCGGAGGAACTTATTAACTAGTTACTTCGTTCTTCCTCTGGTTTAAAAGTTCCACCGGAACAAAGTGACTAGTTGAAAAGTCCCAACGGAACATATCAACTAGTTAGAAAGTTCCTTTTTGCCAAATTAGTCAAAACCGAAACTAACAAACTAGCACAAAAGTTCAAACGGAACTTATCAACCAGGCAGAAAGTTCCATTTGGAGAATTGATGCAAAGTAAAAGCGCAACATATTATATTTGAACCTTTCAAAGGGAAACCAAGATACTGATTACAAAAGTCAAAAGGAACTTATCAACTAGCCACAAAGTTCCTCTTTGGCAAATAAGTCAAAACCGGAACTAACAAACTAGCCCAAAAGTTCCAACGGAACTTATCAACCAGTCACAAAGTTCCATTTGGAGAATTGATGCAAAGTAAAAGCGCAACATATTATCTTTGAACCTTTTCAAAGGGGAACAAAGATACTAGCCACAAAAGTCAAACGGAACTAATCAACTAGTCACAAAGTTCCTCTTTGTTAGGGTTAGGGTTAGGGTTGTGGTTAGGTTAGGGTTAGGGTTAGGGTTAGGGTTAGGGTTAGGGTTAGGGTTAGGGTTAGGTTAGGTTAGGTTAGGTTAGGTTAGGTTAGGTTAGGGTTAGGTTAGGGTTAGGGTTAGGGTTAGGGGTTAGGGTTAGGGGTTAGGGTTAGGGTTAGGGTTAGGGTTAGGGTTAGGGTTAGGGTTAGGGTTAGGGTTAGGTTAGGATTAGGGTTAGGGTTAGGGTTAGGGTTAGGGTTAGGGTTAGGGTTAGGGTTAGGGTTAGGGTTAGGTTAGGGTTAGGGTTAGGGTTAGGGTTAGGGTTAGGGTTAGGTTAGGGTTAGGGTTAGGGTTATGGTTATGGTTAGGGTTAGGGTTAGGGTTAACTATTCAACTAGCTACATTGTTCCGGGACTTTTCAACTAGCTACTTTTTTCCGGAACTTTTCGACTGCACTCGGAATAAAACAACTAGTTGGAAAGTTCCATCGGAACGAAATAACTAGTTCAAAAGTTCCGCCGGAACAAAGTAAATGACGGACCATAGTGGCTGTTACACACTTAGTCTATTAAGATTTATTCCCACAAAATGGGGGAGGGGTTTGATTCGCCTTTCAACGCATGCACGTAGTCAATTAAAATATTTTCCCACAAAAAGGGGGAGGGGGCTTGATTCGCCGTTGAACGCATGCACTTAGTCAATTAAGATTGGAGTCAAAAGCACATAACACCTGTTCTGTGTTGACATTATAGCTTGTGTTTATGTAGTTTATTGAATGTCTTGACGGCGATATTTTGGCATGAACCGCCACTGATATCTGTGTGCAGTACACGCAAAATGGTTGTTAGAGGTTTCAGAAACAAACAACAATCAGTACGCCTATGACATGAATTGGAGAAACAACCATTTTGCAAAATTTATCTTTTTCTTTACAGACCTGTCCTATATCTTTCTTTATTGTAGCTTGATGAAAGGCATGTGACATGGACTACTCTTATCGGGTTGTAGAAATCCATCAGTTGATTCATTTACATTAGAATAATCGTAATGATGAAGGAGATCTGTTATCCGCAATAATTATTGTTTGGCGGTGTTGCCTAGAAGTGAGAAATGAAAATTGCCACACGTTACAGCCACGAACGTGCAGGGAGTAAAGAACCAGATCTCCTGTAATATATTTAGGTTAATTTCGCTGCATTTTATATATATATGATATTTTTAAATTGAAATTGAAGATGATGTATAACAGCTTGTCGTCCAGTGGCAGGTTATATATCTATTATATATATACTTAGCAATTATGAATGTGATATATATATATATATATATATATATTTGTATCAATCTGATGCGTTACGCCTTTTTCAACAGATTTTTATATTTCGTTCTTATATCCCAAGTCAGGAGCCTGCAATTCAGTGGTTGTCGTTTGTTGCTGTGTTACATATTTGTTTTTCGTTCATTTTTTTGTGTGTACATTAATCAGTTCGTTTTCTCGTTTGGGATGCAGTTTGGTCTTTGTTCGTTGAAGGTCGTATGGTGACATATAGCTGTTAATATCTATGTCATTTGGTCTCTTGCGAAGAGTTGTCTCATTGACAACCATACCACGTTTTCTTTTTTTTATGTGAATCAAAATAAAACTTTCATATTCGCATTCGTATGAATGACCCAATGATTTCTCTTTTGTTTTGACCCAATAATTTCCCAAATTCTTTAGAACATTATTAAAGCAGTCTATCCATCATATTAATTAGTTCTTGACCAGAATATGCATTTGGGTATTTGATAATGGCATTTAAAAAGCCACAAGAACGTCCTATCGTCTAAAATGTGTTCTTCTCACTGATGTTGTTCACCATCCAGAGCTTGGCTTACTTAATGCAGATGACCAGTCCCAGACTTTTGACTACTGGCTTATACGTATCTTAAGATACATTAAGTGTATACTACCATCTTGGATTCAGAAATATAGCAGTACACAATCGGACTAGTTCATTGCATAAATCTACAAGTTATGAGACATGTTGGCAATTTTTGTGTAAGACTGTGTATTGAACGGAATAAACTTGATTGGCGAATTGCATTATTTAGTCTGTTTTATCAAATACCAAATATTTGTGTTTTGCCAATGCATTTTTTTAAATAAGCCATATACGGGGAGATAACTCTTTTAGTAAATTTGTTGTGAGATGAAAAATTTTGCTCCATGATTAAGGCATCTCTGTGAATTTGAGATGACAAACAGAAATAAAAGTGATGTTCCTTCGATTCACTGATGGCTTATTACATGTGCTTATAGTGATTTTGTAACATGATTTGAAACTCAATACTATATTTTTTTCATCAGGTTTTGACTGCTAGGTTATGCATTGGTCATCAACAGTTTAAATTGTCAGAGAAATGATGAAAATGGCCCTTTGTGCTGACCATGAAGAATGGAGTTTGCTCATTGATGAAGACTGTACAGTGCCCTATAGTTGTTTATTTCTCTCTTGTGGAGAGTTGTTTTAATGGCAATCATATACCACATCTTATTTTTATACTAAATGGATTCTCCAGTCATAAATTGCATTGTAAAGTGTTTTTCACACTTTTCAGGGAATATACAAAACATATTGTCATTGGTATACAATAGTTGAAAAAGACATTAATGATCCATGACTTTAGTGTGACAGAATGGCTGCAAATTTATAATTAGAGGGGACCTAGCTATGCTGAGAAGCATTGCTTTAGTTGTAGTTTTGAGAAACAGAAACAGTGTATGATGCAAGTAAATATATTTATTAAAGAAATTGTACATTTAATTTATGTATACAGTGTTTTTTTTTGGGGTTTACATAAAGGCTCATTGAATAAAAAATTATTATGCATCCAATAAGAAACAATTTCGTTGCTTACAGTTTCTCTCTGTCTCTCTTTAACAAAAGTAATTTTTCAATACAATAGCCTTAAACTCTTATTTTCATTAATTAATATGTATTGCAGTTAAGAATATAAAATTCAGCTTGTGGTAAAACAAAATGCAAGTTACAACATGTATACAACAAATATTATACCAATCAGTTGATGAACTTCTGAGATCCAATTTTTGTAGTTCTCAATTTTGCTCCTGACACATTCACTCCATCTTAAGCAAAAACCTTTATTTCCAATACAATGTTTTGAAACTGTTAAGATTATTAGTTAATCTTTGTTGTTGTATAGTATAAAAAACTCAGCTTCTTTATTGCTGTGTTACAAACAAAATGCAAATTACAGCATAATATACAACAAACAACAAATCTTATAACAATAAGTTTATCAAGAGTCACTTGTCCTCAGTTCCATTGATGATTTAGAAAAGGAACCTAAATTTTGTAATTTGAGGGCTTGAGTATGTATTGTAACTTTTTTTTGTAAGTACAACTCATAAAGTCAGCTTTTTTAGAAATAATTTCAGAGAAGTAACTTTTTTTTCATTTTTATTTCTTTTGGAAAAAGAAATGAAATTCATCTTCTATATCATATTATAATATTTAGAAATTCTTGCTTTAATAACATTTCTATAGATTCAATTTCCTTTATAGTTTTGCATGACAATTAATTTTCAGAATCATAATATCTTTGAAATATATATACCATGAATATACATTCTGTGCATCTAACATCTTAAAGATTTCAAACAATTCCTTTTAATAGCCAAATAATAACTTTAGTATGTAGCCTAGAATAAATTATAAGTCCACAGAACATGCATATATTTTTTGATATTTTTTATGCAAATATTTATTAATCAAAGCTTTCAAAATAAAAAAAAAGTGTTGAATATTATTTGTTTTTTCCTGAAACAAAACTGATAGACCAAACACCGACTTACATAAACGTTTTTAGCCTATTATTCAGGATACTACTAAATATTTTAGATAGACAGTTGTTTTTAGAAATACTTCTGTAGATATCGATTCCAGAATGAAATTTTATATAATCATAAAAGATGAATTCCAATGTTTTGGATATTAAATAACCATTTTTAAATTAGATTAAAAAGTTGAAATTCTCATTAAAGAGTGATGATTTGATGAGGAATCATCCGACATACTTTGCAAGCACATTTACCTCTGTTAAATTTTGTATTTTCTTATTGTTTAAAGCTGTTTTTTGTTTAAATACATTGAAAATAAGAAAATCACAGTAATTTTATTATAATATCCAAAAAAGTATGCCCAGAAGGAACGCTAAGAGAAAGACAGTTTTAGAGGTCCTCCATGTCTTCTTCATCACTACTCTCTTCCTCATCATCACTTTCAATGTCCTCAACTGATATCTCCTCCTTTATAGCCATTTCTTTCAACATTTGTTGCATCCTTTCATGATCATCAGTCAATATGCTATCAGTTAACTGAGATTCAACAGACACTTCCCCAATGTACTCTGAAAACTGCCTGTTTAATCTTATAATAACCATTTCATAGTACATTCCTTCTTTTATTAAGAATGCAGTTTCTCCTGCAGTTCGATGTTCCCCTAGTTTTACTTTCACAATATTGTACTGATGTTTGTACCAATTAGTGACAGACCTCATTTCTTGCTTGAGCAAAGTTTGTTCTTCGATGGCTCGATCAATGAGGCATTTCAGTTGAATAATTTCCTGTTTTATTGTGTTTGGAATATCTGACACAACCTCCAAATCTACCATGCATTTATAAATTTCACTGTCAATGTCCTTGACAGTATCAAAAGTGATCTGCTCTGGTAAACCTTCAGAGGAATCCCCAATCATGTTGTAAGCTGCAATGGATTTGTGAATTTTTTTTGATATGCACTTTAACTGTTTTGACAGTTTAATGAAAACAGCCTGTCCTTCTGAAATATCAATAAAATGTACAATATTATAGTATTATATAGTGTTATACATATGAGATAAGTAAACAGTGCTAACACATCTTTCATAGAGGAATTGGATGTCAACAAGAAATAATGTTTAAATATTTATTCTAATATGACGCGCTAGTTCGCTTTGTAAACAACACCGTGATAAAATTCTCAATATATCTATACTTAGCGCAAACTCCGAGATATACATAATAATGGATGTTACAATATACCTCCCATGTAAATCAACATGTATCGAAACCTATTTGCAAACGCTATGCAGATTTTTTTTTAAAAATTGCAATTAAAAAAAAGACTACAGAACTTTTATTCTTATTCGGATGCATAACAAAAAGAATAAATGCACAAGTGCTCGGTGAAATCCACAAAATCCAAATAAAATAAAATTCCGCGAAAGTCCACTAATGCTTTTGGCTCCTTAGTAAGGAAATGTCAACTTTGGATTACGAGAAAAACATGTAATCAAAAATGGTAAATGTTGGGTTTGAAAATTAAAAGAATTAAGAACAATTTTTCTAGCTGTTATTCACGAAATATTTATGCAAGCTACAGATTTATTAGAATTTTTTAGCTTTATCTAAAATGGAGTAAAAAAGAACAGCCCCACATACGGCATACCCACTCTCGCTTCAGTTTTTTAATGACCGTATTTGTCCTCTTAGAATCAAAATAATTCATGGAAGCCATAGATTTGTTGGAAATTTACACATGGCCTGGGCCGTGATATTCGTTAATTTTATCCCTCACTAATGCTCAGGATAAAATTCGAATATCACGGCCCAGGCCATGTGTAAATTTCCAACAAATCTATGGCTTCCATGAATTATTTCTTAAATAATGTCATGGTCAGTATATGCATTCAGTTTCGATGGAAGTTGAAGACCAATGAATTTTAAAGGAATCAATCACACAGTAAAGCCTGCTAACATTATTGTTGATTCTAAATTTAAGGGTGTTATGAAGTGTTTTAATTCTTTGTATTGAGAAAAATCTTATTTCAATTTTCATAAATTGTCGTTATGCAAAAAATATCATAAAGTTATGTTAGCTCAAAGAAGGCAAGTTCAACATAGATTATTAAATATTGTTTTAATTGGTACTGATATTGATTTTGTTATCAGTAAATTAAAAGCAAACTAAATATTATTGTTATTTACATATACACATTTATGGATCTACAATCTGTCGATACCTGTATCTTGGCATTGCACAAGGTCATGTTTTTCTCTGACTGTTTATGATGTCTTAACACTAAATCCATTGGATGTTGGATGTGTACGGATTGATAATTTAGTCTTAGATGCATAATATTTTTTTTTTATTAGTTGTTAGTGGCTTTGAACTAGCTGTCAGTAACTGCGAGTACTCTCAGATCTGTACTTAGTGTCTTTTTGTTGTTTGGATGTACAAGTACCCGGCCATGCCCACTTGTATTTGTAGTATTTGTATTTTTATCCATCTGATGAGTTTAGCCTCTTTCAACTGATTTTTATAGTTCGTTCTTATGTTGTACTGTTACACCACTGTTCCAGGTTAGGGGAGGGTTGGGATCCCGCTAACATGTTAAACCCAGCCACATTCTGTATGTATGTGCCTGTCCCAAGTCAGGAGCCTGTAATTCAGTGGTTGTCGTTTGTTTATGTGTTACATATTTGTTTTTCGTTCATTTTTTGTACATAAATTAGGCCGTTAGTTTTCTCATTTGAATTGTTTTACATTGTCATTTCGGGGCCTTTTATAGCTGACTGTGCGGTATGGGCTTCGCTCATTGTTGAAGGCCATACGGTGACCTATAGTTGTTAATTTCTGTGTCATTTGGTGTCTTGTGGGGAGTTGTCTCATTGGCAATCATACCACATCTTCTTTTTTATAAGTATGGAATGAAAAAGTGCATTACACGAGGAAGCCTGCATGATAAAAATTTCTGGAAGATCTGATTTGCAGTTCTACCGAAAAATGTTACTAAAATTTCATACATGGCCATTATTTGTAAAATAAAGCATAGTAAGTTCAGTAAACATGAAGTTGTTAGAGATAAATGAAAAAAGCATCACAGGATTGAGCATGCTTACATAAAGGAAGTTTTAGATTCCCTTCCCTTCGTTCTATGGGTAATAAAACTTTGCTTACTTGAATATTTGCGCAATAACCGTAGTAAATAGTGCCTCTCTGAAACATGTTTCTTCAGGGTTACAAGTTGTAATTTTTTTTGTTTTTCTTTCACAATCTTTACATCCTTCTTATAGTTTTCGTCAGTTTGATGCAATCTAGAGGTCTTGTTCTTTTTTTCAAATGTTGATAAGGTTTTCTCTAGTCTGTAAAGATATTTGAATAAAAAATTTATACATCAAAATGTTTAGTTATTTTTATATATTGTTATATATGCCTTTCAAAACAACTTTTTAACATAATCAGCAGTCATTTCACGGAATTTCCAGGCAAAACTCTGCTCATGAGATCACAAGTGAGTAGTAAGACTCAACTGATCGGCAAAACAAGCCTGACTTTCCATGTATGTACTTTATATTGGGTAAAAACTGAAGACAAAAATTGTACAAAATTCAGAATATTTGCACAAAATTGTAGCTTTTCTAGTGTAATATGCGTGTTTTCAAATGTTCATACATGTTAAAACATTTCTAAGGTATTTAAATAAGGTCACAATTAATTTTAGATCATCATGTTAACTAGTTTTATATCTTTTAAACTTTTATTAAAGGATGACATAGATAAGAATGTTATTTTCCCTTCTGTTTTATATTTTAAATGATACTGTATATAATTGCCCTAAATATGCATCATGCCAGGTTGTAAAAAAAAAGGCAATTGCTGTCAAAATAAATATTATTACAATTTCTTAAAGTTTTCGTAATCATGCACCTCTCTTTTTCTTCCTTGAACTTGTCATCTAGTTGTTCATATCTGAAAATTAAGAATGACAATATTAGAAATAAATATATATACTTACAAAAAGCTTATTACTTAAAAGTACATAAAAATCTTCTATTTATTTCTCTTAAATGAGTAATCATTTTTGGTAGCAGTCATGTTGTAGCCCTAATCACAACCAATATAAATATAGATTATTACATTGATACAAGTGGAATATTGGATTTGTCCAATCAAGATAGTTAAATTATCAATTTTAAAGTCCGAGCCTCGGCAAGATTGGATCGAGATTGGATAAATCTGATAATCCACGCGTAACTATGTAATAATCTGTTTCTCTAATGATAAAAATTTTCCTTTTTTTCTAAACTAAAATCCCCTTCGAGTGCCTTCCACTTTCCATGAAGTTGTCAATTTTATTAACACTTGTTAGAACATTTTGATCATTTCAGAGAGCTGAGAAAGGTTATGACCCTTAAACTCAGCCAGTCATCTTCTGAGATCACACAACCACACATTGATTAAATTTTTTTATACAATGGGTTCGGAAAGGGATATATTTCCATAGAATTAGAGAAAATCATTTATAAATAAAGACATCTGGCATGATTAGTTAATATATTGCTAATGAGACCACTTTCCATAAAAAACACCTAAGATGTGAACACTAATAAACACTTTGATCATCAAACAATGGAATCACTATAAAAATAAATGGAATGTACTATTGGTATATTCTGTCAATCATAATATATGCATGGTCAATATTGTACATTTTCAACATGATTTTTAATAATATCGTTGTAACTACAATGCTGTTCCTTTTTCCTTGAAAGTTACCAACCAAATTAGACTTAACTCTGGGTTTGTACTAAAATGAGTAATTTTGTAATGGGTGCCACATGTGGAGCAGGATCTGCTTATCCTTAGATCACCTCCAGTTTTAGTGAGTTTCCTGTTGTACAAGTACAAATAAAGCAAAACTTTATTTGTGTACCTGTTATTTGTACAAAAGTTGGCTGATTGCAGGATAAATGTAAACTAATATGCAATTTAGAAAAATAACGGCCTGATTTATGTACAACATAATGAACAAAAACAAATATAATAATTTATTCACATTTTACTGGTCATTATTGTGGAACTTCTATGACCATTCAATTCATTAGTTGATGAGTACTGGAGGATGCATGATGGAAATGTTATATGTAATCATATTATATTCAATATGATATCGAGGCCTTAAAATGTACTGTTTATTTTTTGACATACCCAATTCTGTAATATCTTTGAAGACTGAGAATATATTCATCTGTCTTGTTCAGTTTAACTGGAAAATAAAACCGAACACAAATGAAGAAGGTAAATTAATTTTTACTGGCATTTACAAGAATCAAATGTAGTAAATATAAAAGTAGTTTACAGCCTCTGATATAAAAAACCTTGTTTGTGATTTCTATATGTGTAAACATAGAGTTTATATATGGCATTAGTAAGGAAAGAATGCTTGCTTAAAATTAATTTTTATGACATCCTTTATTAATTCCAAATGTTTTGTTTCTACACCATATATTAGTTTTGGAACAGTTGGTAGAGTTGCAGTGTACAAAGATAATGTAACAACCAAATATTATCTCAAAATATATTACTAATTTGAAGTAGAAATTGTACTCAGCTCCGAACATGATAGAAATGTTACGAAACCAATCTACATGTTTCTGATCCTAGCTGGCTAATAAATTTTGATATTTTAAGACAATGTATATAGTTTTAATACTCAATATGTCTAGAATGGAAATTATATCAAAATTAATTCAGAGTCCTCTTAACTATAAAAAAAAGAGTTTTTTACTAAAATATAAGGAGGTCTTACTGTGAGATACTTTCATATATGTGACATGTAACCCGAAACGTTTTAATTTTGAACACAGTACAGTAGAAAATGATCATGTTTTGACAAAACTTGAAAATAGGAGATGTATAAGTGCGTTGTGTGATACAGTTTCTTTCATTTTTCATTGAAATATAAATTTAAAACATATGGATTATTAAAACTTACTTGTTGCATCATTGTTTTGAGTGTGTAGCACTGAAGACTTTTCCTCTTCAATCCATTGGATAATCTTATCATTTCCAATAACCTTGTCTGAATACAAACAAACATGGATTATAGTTTGCAAGTTGATATACTTCACATATGTTTTACACATAACTTATATAAATATACAACAAAAATTTCATTGTAACAATTAACATTATCTGTGGTTTAATTTTTTTTTCAACCTGAACATTTGGTTATAATATTAATGGATTAAATAGATGAAAATATTTTTCTTCAATCATGTTGGAATGCTGTTCAATGTGAAGAAAGCATCCTTAATCATAATATTTAATGTTTGTATTTGTGCTTTGGTCTCAGATAAGGTGTTTAACATTTTTTTTTACATAAAACAGACACAAAGTGAGGGCAAAAACTCATTCCTTAGGTAATTTGAGCTAAAATGACTAAGCAAACTATTTGTGGCAGTTAACTGTTCCAAGATAGGAAGTTGGTTGACTGAATTGCAGACAAAACTAAATTTTATTGAAACACTTTCTCAAAAGCAATAAAAAGAGTTGATTGGTTTTGTTTCTGGGTAAAAGTTTTTTATCTAAAGATTTTTATAATGCCTTTATAAATGATATGAACAGATAATCAACTTCAGCATATGAGGACACATGATATTCATTAAATAGTAATAACTAAATAAAAGTAACAAGTTATTTATTTTTGAAAGATAGTTTCTTACCATGAACAGTTGATACAATCTCCTTCATGGCCACATCACTGTTTTCCTCAATTTTCTTTGATCTTTTGAATTTCATAACCAATGTGTAACCTGCATGTTGGAATTAAGTTTTATTATCAATATAAAATTTTGATTCTCTAAAATTGCTGATATAAACCTATTATACAAGTTTTATAAAAATTTGGCAATAATTTTATATGTTTGAGTGCTAACTGTTGACCAGATGGAAGGACAAGCAGAATTTCTATGTTCCCCTCAATTCTAAAATAAAATTTTCTAAATCAAGGGAGCAAAATTAATTTAGTATCTTAAACTTTTTTATTTGACTTGATAAAACTGGCATTAAAGAAATGTCTCATCTGCCTTTTATAAATACGAAATCATTAGCTGTTATATTATGATAAACATGCATGCATATACTTTGACCTATAATGGTTTACTTTTATAAATTTTGACTTGGATGGAGAGTTGTCTCATTGGCACTCATACCACATCTTCCTATATCTATATGCAACAAGTCACAGGCAGCATTCCTCCATTACACATTTGCAATTTTCTGTAATTACCTAATTTATCTCTGATTTTCTGACCGAAGTAAATAAGGCCATCTGTCAACAGGTCTGTTCTATTTTCAGGCGTCATCTCTTTTGTGATAGAAGAAAATCCACCCAAATAAGACCATAACCTTTCGATACCTTCGCCGTCTGTAAGACCATGATTTTCTGTCCTCCTAGGTCCATACAAAATCTACAAGTATATAAATATTAAAACATAAACTTCAATATATTATAGACAAATGTCTAACAACAGTCATTTAAATATGAATACCAAGTTTTTTATATTAAAAAATCTTCAAAATTTAAAATGTTGCTAAGAAAAGAGAAATCATATCATAGTAAACCCATATAGAAAACAACATATTTGGTCTTAAAACTTGCTATAAAAAAAATTTTCATGTTAACATATACTGAAAATCTTTTCAAACCATTCTAGTATAATATATATAAACACAATATGCGAGTACATGATATATGAGCAACACAGTCAATTGATGTCTAATTAAAGTTTTGTGAGTTCTTAAGTTTCCATTTTAATGTATAACAATTACATATACAAATATGTACTGAACCAACCAATAGTTTAACAAACATGTGAAATTAGATTATCTTACTTGACATGAAATACTGTGTCCATAGCAGTGGAAAATTGGTATAGAAAATGTAATTTTTTCTAAAATGTCGTTTCGCCCTGCTTTCTGAAAAAAAAAAAGATTGTGTTGAATCGAATTAAGAATCCTGTAAACATTTTTATAAAGTTTCAATGATCTTGATTCAAACTGCTGAATAACTAATTGATAAAACTAGATGTGGTATGATTGCAAATGATAAAAAAATCTAACTGTAATAGTGCAAATTTACAACTTCAATATGACTGCAATATTTATGTAAAGTTTAAGGGATTTAGATTATACATCATACGAGAAAGGAATGGGACTGACTAATACTGTATTTTGTAAATTTATTAAAATGACACCCAGTAAATGTCAAGTCGAAATAATGGAAGGAAATCCTTGAAACATTTCTATAATATGATATCAGATGCACAACTGCAATAAGTTTGTAACCTCTCTGTGTCATTAAAACTGTCAGAGAATTTATTACATAAAGTTTATACTGTCTTGGTGTCCTGTATAAATTTTGTGAAATATTACTATGTTGATGAAAAAAAATCATAAAAATTTCTTACCAGGCTGTGCATGGCTTAATTTTTTGTAATTATTTAATGAAGTTTTAAGATTCGTGGGTAAATTTTCTAGTATTTTCTTATAAATTGAATTACATTACTGCCCAAACTATATACAGTACAAATGAAAAAAGTTTCAAACCTCTAGATGTCTTTTTAACAAACATGCAATGTCATACGAGATGTGCAGGTGTTTGTCTTTGTTTGCACTTAAAAGCAGTTCTATCAGAAAAACAGCATATCCCAGTCTACAAAATAAAAAGAGAAATGTTTCTTGAAATAACAAAAAATTGGTTTCCTATTTTTAAGTGAATTCAAATTCAAACTGCATATGTCCCTGTAAGGAATGACTGTAATTTTTTTTCTGTCTATGAAGAAATAACATCAAAAAAGTGGTGCACACTGAATAACCCGTGTAGCGTGTTATTTTAAAGTGTGCACCACATTTTTTATGTTATTTAGAATAGACAGAAAAAATATTACAGTCATTCCTTATAATTTAATTCTAAATTCCATTTTAAACCAGAGTAAATCATGAAAAAACGTTGAAGACGTCACGGTCACTTGACTAAATTATGTCTATATGAGCTGATAAACAAAACACCGTCAGCCAATCAGAAGAAGCGTTACATCCAAAATTAAATTATTCTTTCATAACCATAATCCTTTTCTCTTCTATTCACGTCTCCTTACCACTGAATACAATTCTCATTTAATTTAGATTTATGTCATGAGCAACAAAAACCTTTCAGTAGTCTAAAACCCTTCAACATCACTTCGACTTTAGTGTAGTTTTTAATGTATTTTGATAGACTTTTATTTGAACTGTGACTTTAAATAAAATTTGTATTGATTTTTTTATTTGAATATATTGCATAAGATTCTATCAAACATCAATCTAAAAATTGATTACATTACATGATATGCAAATATTTCTATAAAACACATAAGGTGAAATAAATAGGCATAAATTTGGAAAGTTAGCCTTACATGAACATACTAACTGGTGAGGTCACAGTTTTCATGGTAAATAAAAAAAATTATTATTTTAATCTGAAAATGAACTAATTTCACAGTATCCTACTTCTGTGTTTAATGAACCATAAAATAAGGGTTAAAGCCATATATGGTGAAAGTTCACATATTAATGACTGCATGTTCTAAGTTTCAAGTTGATGTAACCACAACATTTGTTCAAATATCCTAAACAAAAACATTTATCTGATATGGGAAGGAGAACAAATGACATACAAATCTGAAAACCTAATAAGGAAGGAAGGCCTTAAAATTGCATTTTCTAAAAATTATCTATAATAGAACTAACTTTTCACCATGTTTTAAACTAAAAAACTTCTGAGGGTAATCGTGTCTACAGGTAGCTCCAAACACTGCTGTTTCCGACAATTTCTTGTTTTTTGCTTTGGATCTTAAGTCATTTCCTGCTTGGAAATCGCTACATTCCTGAAAAAAGATATAAAAGCTATCAATTTCTCATCTTTTTTTTAACTACTTGCCGTTTTTCAAATACAAAAAAAATCAGCATTAATTATTTTTATATCCATATGTCTCAAATGTACTAAAATAAGTGTTTCTCGTTTCTCGTTTTTTATATAGATTAGACCATTGGTTTTCCCGTTTGAATGGCTTTACACTAGTAAGTTTTGGGGCCCTTTATAGCTTACTGTTCGGTGTGATCCAAGGCTCCGTGTTGAAAACCATACTGTGACCTATAATGGTTTACTTTTATAAATTTTGACTTGGATGGAGAGTTGTTTCATTGGCACTCATACCACATCTTCTTATATCTACTAAAAATAAAAACCTAAAATATATTATTCCTCAAATGCAATAGTCCTAAATTTGAAGAAATTTTGGAAACAATTTTGGAATTCTTCATCTTTGATTTTTATGTCTAGAATTCATGAGGCATTTTAATTAAACATATATATATGGAACTTATGGAAGGCAACTTTAATTAGCTAGTATGGATGGGTGTGAAAGGGTTTTAAAATGTATGCAGGTCTCTTGACTGCTTCAGTAATTCCCTACATAATCAATCAATTTTTTCCCACATAAGGGGGGGGGGGGGGGGGGCTGGGCCCCATGGATCCGCCTATGGTAAATAAATAAAATATGAAACACAAAATACCTTTTCTATTTTTGGAGTGTCATATTTCTTTATGAAATCATCTACCAATTCCTGTTGAACGAAAAAATTATCTTTGTGTTTTGGTTCAAGCCAGTGGTTACCAGATGAAGATTTCCGAACCAACTGAAAGTCTGCATCAAAACAAAAGATACTGGTTTCTGTCTAAAAAAGAAATGTTTGGGGTATATTAATCTACTGTTATAATGAAAATCATACGCAAAATGTTTTTACTAGAAACTAAAATATCAGTCAATTGTACGAAAGTGCACCGGATAATTAAAAATATAATTATCAGATAAATTATCAGATAAATATTTAAAATAAATAAAAACTTACGTCAACATCATTTAAGGAGTGTATTAAGTAGAGATGGGTTCTTGCTAAGGAATGAACATAGGTGCGCTAAGCATCATTTCAGTTCAAAATTTTGTGAAGCTGTTTCAAAGTGATGATAATAACAAAAGAAATTGATAACTCACTTTATCATATACTTACACTAAATAACATATGATTTTTACCGTATGATAATAGCAGAAAATTAACGTAATTCCATGTTTTTTTCGAATTGGTGCTTAGAGGGCTGAATGAAAAGTTTATCACATGCTTCGAATATTATCTCATGGCCCTTTCCGTAACCTTATCGCATGGCATTCCGGTTATACTCGGGAAATTCCGGAAAATACACACCAATGGTACTTTTCAGTGAAAAACATTACAAAGTAGGGTACAAAACAATTATTTGGATACAGGAAAGTATATTGTGTAAAATTCAATAAAAAACAAACAAACAAACTAACAAATGATAAAATAAAAGCATTTTAAAAAAATACCAACATATTTCTGAAAGTTACTTTAAAATGATGACTTTTCCAAACGGTGTTCATTACATCTATTGTCGAATTTTTTTTAATCGTCCATATAAGAATAGATCATACTGTTGTTTTTCTTCTCTGTTGATGCATTTGATAGAATTTCATTTTGGATGTACTACCTTTGGGGTCCGACGTCTGTAAACTTTTCACTCTTTGAACTTCTATTTGAGAACCACTTAAAAGGATTTATTATATTAATCTGTTATTTTCTCCATTGTTGAAGTATATGATAAAAAGATCATAGCACGTCATTTTTCATATCGCATGTTTTATCAGCCCTCGGTCAATATCAGCCCTCGAGCCATGCGACTCTTGGGCTGATATTGAACCTAGGACTGATAATACATGCGATATGAAAAATGCCATGCAATAATCTGATAGTACAGTGATTGATTGATTGTTGTTCCTCTTTTTGTTTATGGTGTTGCATGTGGGCTATTGTATTCTACTGATTATTGCTTTTATACTGTGGCAAATATTTCATTAAAATATATCAATCATTCAATGTTAATCTAGCACATTATATCAATTATACCTCAAAACAAGCTGGACAGGTACAACCATCATCTAGATCTGGAAAATTATTGGTTAAATAGTCCATTTGGTATACAAACTGACGAAATTGGTGAATTGTTTCTGCCATTAAACTCTTATAAATTTCTTTTCCCTAAAAGTAGAGTTAAAAATTAAATTTAAGAATACGCAATTGTGGCTATATGGATTATAAGGGAAAAGATAAAACCCTCACCACCACCACCAACCAAACCTTAAAGGCTGTACCGTGACCTATAGTTGTTAATTTCTGTGTCATTTGATCTCTTGTGAATAGTTGTCTCATTGGCAATCACACCACATCATTTTATATATAAATGTGTAAAAAAATACTGTATCCTTTATAAAAAACATAATTATCTAAATTTTTCGAGACATATATTTTATTGGTACTTTTCATTCTTTCAAATGTATACAGTGTCATTTATTTTTTGAAATGCCTTATATAAGTTATATAACAGTAGGATATGCTGAGGGTTTTATAACAGCAAAACTATAAATCTCATTAGTATGGAATCTTAATTAAATTAACCTCTTTTGTGACCAACATCTTGTACAACTTTGGTTGTCTAGCTTTTAAAGCTTCACAAAACCCCTTCACGGATACATGGCACTCGAGCAATAAACCATTTAACCAGCGAAGTAAATCAATGTGGAAGGCTAAATGAGGTGTTTTTGGTGAGGCAGGCCACAGATTGTATGACAACAAGGTAATTGCTTCCTCCTCACAAGAACAAAATTGAATTGTTCTAAGATGTTGTCTACCTGAAAAATAAAGACAATTATTACAGGTAACAATAAATAGAGAAATTGTTTTTAAAACATACAAGTCTTGCAAAAAAAATGCTTAAAAAACAGAAGTTAATTAGTGTATTCCACTTTGGACCACCTATCACTTTAAAAATTTTAATTGAAAAAAAATATTTAATGTCACAGTACCCAAATTTCGCCTATTTAGCAAAAATAGCAGCGAAAATCTTACAAGATTTCTTAGGGACTAAACAATTTGTATTTTTTTATAATTTGACATTATGCAAGTCTTTCAAATAGTATTTGAAAGACTTGCATAATATAGGTATATATATATCTAAATATTCACAAAATACAGTACAAATCAACAGATAAAGTATTCACTAATTCATTAAATTGTTCTAAATGATTGAAGAAATAAAACAAAACACCTTTTATTTAACTTCTAAGGATGTGAATTTAAGCATGGATGCAATTTGGGTACTCCTCATAACAGACTCATGGATCGTATGAAGGTCGGTTCGAACCCATTTTTCTATGATTCGATATAGATTCAAATTCCAATTAATGGAACTTTATAGTAAATAAGGATTCATCTACCAAATAAACACAAAATAGAAACTTTTGTTTGGATCATAAATGAATGTTACAGGTGAAAAATCTGTCAAAATAGTTGCAATTTGGTATATGTATATATTTTTTTTATTTTTTTGTCTAAATCATATCAAATGTCCATTTAAAAGTAATTGATACCTTTATCCAACCTAAGAAATGCTACAAAAGAAAGTATGTTAGTTACTATATAAAGAATACCTTTATCATCGATAACTACTATTTCTTTCATGTAGTCAGTTGTACACATGTCATGTTGTCTTCTCTTCCAAGGCTTAGTTGGAGGTGCATAGCCTATAAATGCCCCATGCTATAAAAGAAGCATGTGTTTTAATCAATTTACCTTAAATTGGTTCATCATTACAAAAATAATACTAATCTTTGATATAATTCTTATAGTAAACTATTATTAGTTCAACCAAAGTCTACAATAAAAACCTAAACTATTGTTTTGAACTAATTTTAATGGTCTTCTTCAACTGCCCTTACTGCTAAATTTAACAATTGTTAATGTGTGTGCATGAGGAAAGACAAAACCATAATGTTTAATGATACTCAGATCAATGGTTTGCTTTTCAATGTTATTATATTATTGTCGCATTAAAAAATACCCAAAATCTCTTCTTTATATAATCATACAGTGCATATATCATCAAATTTATAGGTTGTTGTAATTTAAAAAAACTAATATATCAAGCTATCACAGGGGTAGGGGTATGTTGAATATAAGAATCAATTGTGTTCAGTAACTTCTTTTAAATTATGAAATCCAGGATCTTAATAAAATCACTACCTTTTTTTGTATTCCAATAACTGCAAACTAGAGGCTCTAAAGAGCCTGTGTCGCTCACCTTGGTCTATGTGCATATTAAACAAAGGACACAGATGGATTCATGACAAAATTGTGTTTTGGTGATGGTGATGTGTTTGTAGATCTTACTTTACTGAACATTCTTGCTCCTTACTATTATCTCTATCTATAATGAACTTGGCCCAGTAGTTACAGTGGAAAATATTTTGTAAAAATTTACAAAAATTTACAAAATTTATGAAAATTGTAAAAAATTTACTATAAAGGGCAATAACTCCTTAAGGGGTCAATTGACAATTTTGGTCATGTTTGACTTATTTGTAGATCTTACTTTGCTGTACATTTTTGCTGTTTACAGTTTATCTCTATCTATAATAATATTCAAGATATTAACCAATAGCTGCAAAATTTTCTTAAAATTACCAATTCAGGGGCAGCAACCCAACAACATGTTGCCTGATTGGTCTGAAAATTTCAGGGCAGATAGATCTTGACCTAATGAACAATTTAATCCACGTCAGATTTGCTCTAAATGCTTTGGTTTCAAAGATATGAGCCAAAAACCGCATTTTACCCTATGTACTATTTTTTAGCCATGTCCGCCATCTTAGTTTGCGGGCGAGGTCATCGGACACATTTTTTATACTAGATACCCTAATGATGATTGTGGACAAGTTTGGTTAAATTTGTCGTAGCAGTATCAGAGGAGAAGATTTTTGTAAAAGATTACAAAAATTTACGAAAAATGGTTAAAAATTGACTATAAAGGGCAATAACTCCTTAAGGGGTCAACTGACCATTTTGGTCAAGTTGACTTATTTGTAGATCTTACTTTGCTGAACATTATTGCTCTCTACAGTTTATCTCTATCTATAATAATATTCAAGATAATAACCAAAAGCTGCAAAATTTTCTTAAAATTACCAATTCAGGGGCAGCAACCCAACAACGTGTTGTCCGATTCATCTGAAAATTTCAGGGCAGATAGATCTTGACCTGAAAAACAATTTTATTCCATGTCAGGTTTGCTCTAAAGGCTTTGGTTTCAGAGATATAAGCCAAAATCTACATTTTACCCCTATGTTCTATTTTTTAGCCATGGTGGCCATCTTGGTTGGTTGGCCAGGTCACCAGAAACATTTTTTAAACTAGATACCCCAATGATGATTGTGGCCAAGATTGGTTAAATTTGGCCAAGTAGTTTCAGAGGAGAAGATTTTTGTAAAAGTTAACGACGACGGACGACGACGACGACGACAAAGACGGACGCCGGACGCCGGACGCCAAGTGATGAGAAAAGCTCACTTGGCCCTGTGGGCCAGGTGAGCTAAAAACATTATATTAAACTGCCAATAAGTATGAATAAGAAGAGACATTGGGGTGAAAGAGACCCCAACCAAATAACAAACATTGACAACAAAAAGAAAATACATCCAGATATCATGCCTCAAATAAATTAAACCAAGCATGGCCAATTTCCACAAAAATTGTAATAATTAAACAAACAGAAATAATATGATCAATCAACACCTATTTCTAATTTTATACATTTATAACAAAAATCAATACATGAAACCATAAAAACAACCTGGTCTATGATAAATATTTCATAAAGCAATTATCTGCATGTATCTTCATGCTTTATTAAGAAGGGGGGCTGTCATCACACATACATTTTTATTAATTTCAGAAATTCTTACTGAAAAGATCTGCTTTACTAAATTACAAGTTAATTTTACATGGTTTTTCTTTAAAAAAAGGGGAAAATCTTACCATCCATTTCTCAAAAACATGTAAATGTGGAAATTGATGCCTAATTTCCAGACAACTTTCACATATAACTGGCCAAGATATACAATCTATGCATCGGTAGAGATCAAGGTTTTCAATTCCACAATCCTGGCATTTAAAATCGAATACTGCTTCTTTTTCTTTTGCTGCAGACACCAGCTTCTTGCATAATTCTGACCAATGGTTTAAACGTTGGAACTTGGCTTTAGCATATTCTTAAAAAAAAGTACTAAAGTATTTGGTACTGTAAGTATAAAAAACAACCTAAAAATATCAAAATTAAATTCTAATTAGACAATCTTTTGCATGATATTTATACTTAATGAATAATTACAACACATATTTTACAGTCACCTTCATCAATGATGTTAACACATTTGCACCTTTTAAAAAATACCAATAAAATTATGATGACAGAATATGCAGAATTATCAATTTTTTTTTATACCATTTTTTGGTCAACTTTCAAGTTCTTTCTGGCTTAAAAAATTCAATTTTATAAGCCCGTTTACAGAACATTCGTTTTATTGTATATTGTTGTTTGTCTGTCCGTCTGTAATCAACACGTCTGAGAATCACTCAAAAAAGGCTTAAACCTTTGAAACTTGAAACTTTGGTGAATGGTTTATATCTATTAAGATAAGCTTCCTTTATTTTTTAATACATTTCTGATATGATATTGATGAGTTATGGACATTTTTTCATTGAAAAAATGAAGGGCATATAATGCACTCATGGCACACCTCTTTATTCATCTTATAACCCATAATTCTACTTTAAGGAGATCATAAATGCCACTTTAAAATAATTACACTTCACATACTATTTTTAGGGTCAACTGTAAAAGGTGTTTCATGCTCATTGTTCAGCTGTACATCCCCATTTCTTTCTGGTTCATTGTTCATCACCTGTGCATTTATAGTTTCATCTTTATCATTTTTGGCACCAGCAGTTTTATCAATTGATGATAAAGGTTTGTATGACTTAGTTATTGTTTTCTTTTTCCCATTTTGATGGACTACAAAAGTGCATGGCACCTTTCTTTTCTTTATATGAGACATCTAAAAAATAAATAATTAAAAATCATCAAACTAAAAGTACAATTAAATTATCAATTTGTATTTATAGAATATATATTATATATAAAAATATCAGTTTCTTTTTGTATTGTTTGATTGCTGTCTCATTGACATATTCCTCTGTTTTTTAGGCAATTCGTTGTGTTCATATGTCATGTTACTCAGTCCAAAAGTTGCTAAGTTCAAAATTTGAAAAAAAACAGTGGTGTAATGCTACTAAGAATAAACAACTTATGCTTGATTATCTCCCCTTTCAAAATTTTACCATTTACAATTAAAATATATTTCTGAATTTTCATTGATAAAATAAATTTAATAAGTATTCTTAAAAGATTTGATATATTTCTGAATTTTATTTCATTATACATTATAGAAGGTTGTATTAAATTATCATATCTAAACATTTTGACTAAAATGTTTACTTACAATATAAATTGAATGGACCTTTAATTACATCAGTACTTGGTTATAAATCTTCGTACTGAAAATATATCAAATTCTTAAGGTCACTATCATTGTTTGCCTTTCATACATATGGTCATATCATATGTTTTCGTAGTCATATGTTTTCGAACTATGCATGCTTTTTCAATGGAAATCGTGACGTCATAATGCATTCTTAATATTAACGAAAACCTATGAGACGATGATATATATATATTATGGTGTTAGCGCTGTATAACCACAGATAATCCAACAGAGAATGTCTGTCATATAAAGTTGTCACAGGTTTAGACACACTTATATATATATCTATAATACTAAAATAACAAGGTCCATTTTGTTAGCCTTCATGACGTAAACACGACAAATCAAAGAATTTGACTTATACATAACTTATATAGGACAATGGTGTTGATTAAAAATTACATCAGTCCAACCCTTTTGTTTTCCACATTATAGGTATTGACAATGATTAACAAGTGCCATGTGGAATCAGATACCGATACCAATAGTATATGTCACATGTATGTATTTTCTGTATCTTCCTCCAAAAAGAGCACTATCTGGTACCATATCAAAAATATGTTGCTCCTAGTGCAAAATGTAAATCCTATTTAAAAAGTGCTTGATTACCTCCCCTTTCATAATTTTATAATTTAATTACAATTAAAAAACATTTCCCAATTGTATTGGATAAAATAAATAAGCAAATAGTTTCTTTAGTGCTTACTTACCAATACATGTAGTATTAAGTTAACTGGACCTTGGATCACATGAGTTCACAGTAAACTATCTTCAATCTAAAATATCATTCAGTAAATTATAAAGGTCACATTCAGTTGCTGTTATTTTCATATATGATATATATATATATATATATATAAAATGACTGAATAATAGCCAACAATAAATCTTACGGAGCGATGGATCATATAATTATGATACAGTACACTACAAAATACAATATATAACCAGTCTAAAAGGGTACAACATCACCAACAATATATATATATGTATACATATATGTTGTTTGTGCTGTATTTAGACCCCTCTACCAAGAAATTTGTTTTGCATGCACACGTATAAAAATTGCGGTTTTTATCCAACGCAATCATAGGTTTGAACGTTGTTTTCAATTTAGACTTGTGTATACATATATGTACATAGTAAATTTGCTGGTTGGTCCTTTTTATAGACTTCTATATATACATATATATATAAGTTTTAACTTTCACTGCAGACCATGTACTAACCTCTACTTGTCTCTTGTATTGTTCAGTTACTGACTCATTGACATATTCCTCATATATTTTTTGTTTGTATTTCTTGGAAAACCACTATATTTTTTAAGCAATTAAAAGTTTGAATTTTCTCTGTAGACTTTATACTGACCTCTTCTTGTCTCTTTTGGTATTGTTCAGTTGCTGTCTCATTGACATATTCCTCATATATTTTTTGTTTGTATTTCTTGATAAACCACAGTGGTCTAAAATATTTTTATGCAATTAATATTGTAATGATATCCTTTTACTTTTTTTCTACCATGTGACAAAAGATACTTAGCCAAAATGTTTATTCTGTTTTCAAAAGAACTAAAAGAACTGGTGTAATGCTACTTCTAATGGAACAACTCTTGATTATCTCCCCTTTCAGAGTTTTATCAATTAGAATTGAAATTTATTCCTGAATTTTGTTTGATTAAATGAATAAGTAAAAGTTCCTATATATTTGACTTCAATGCCGCAACTTACCAATACAAATGTAATAACAACTTAACGTGGCCTTGAAACTCATGACATCAGTACACAGTAGTTATTAGCTCTTCAAACTGAAAATATAATTGAATTATTAAGGTCACATTCATTTTCAGATACTGAAACCAATAGTATATATCAAATGTATGTATTTTTATTTTCTATATCTTTCTCCTTTTATAAGAGCACTCCCTTGTACCATATCAAAAAAATATTGCTCCTAGTGCAAAATGTAAATCCTATTTAAAAAGTGCTTGATTACCTCCCCTTTCATAATTTTATAATTAAATTACAATTAAAAAACATTTCCCAATTGTATTGGATAAAATTAATAAGCAAATAGTTTCTTTAGTGCTTACTTACCAATACATGTAGTATTAAGTTAACTGGACCTTGGATCACATGAGTTCACAGTAAACTATCTTCAATCTAAAATATCATTCAGTAAATTATAAAGGTCACATTCAGTTGCTGTTATTTTCATATATGTATGTATATAAGTTATAACTTTTTCTGTAGACTATCCACTGACCTCAACTCGTCTCTATTTGTATTTGGTTGGTTGCTGTCTCATTGACATATTCCTCATATTTTTTGTTTGTATTTCTTGGTCAACCACTATTTCTTTATGCAATTTATAGTGCAATGATTTCATGTTACGTTTTGCCTTAACCAACGTTGCTATTAGTGCAAAATGTTCATATACATTGCAAAGGAAATAAAAGCACTGATATAATGCTACTTGTAATGAAACAAGTACCTTTTAAATATCTCCCCTTTCAAAATTATATCATTTACAAATGAAATACACTATGAACAAACTCTAGTAGACATTCCTATACAATTTGACTACAATGTTTACTTACCAATAGGTATGACTTGCCCTAGCCTTCAGCTACATCAGCGCATAGTATTATTATATCTTCAAACTAAAAAAAAACAAACTGTAAATTAGTAGGTCACTTTTATTTTGCTACAAATTATTTTCATATATATCTAAAAGTTTGAATTTCTCTGTAGACCATGTACTGACCTCTACTTGTCTCTTTTTGTATTGTTCAGTTGCTGTCTCATTGACATATTCCTCATATATTTTGTGTTTGTATTTCTTGGTAAACCACTTTATTCTTTATACAATTAATGTTGTGATGATATCATTTTACTTTTTGTCTACTAATAGAACGGGTGTAATTCTACTTCTAATGGAACAATTCTTGATTATCTCCCCTTTCAGAGTTTTTTCAATTAGAATTAAAATTTATTCCTGAATTTTGTTTGATTAAATGAATAAGTAAAAGTTCCTATATATTTGACTTCAATGCCACAACTTACCAATACAAATGTAATAACAACTTAACGTGGCCTTGAAACACATGACATCAGTACACAGTAGTTATTAGCTCTTCAAACTGAAAATATAATTGAATTATTAAGGTCACATTCATTTTCAGATACTGAAACCAATAGTATATATCAAATGTATGTATTTTTATTTTTCTATATCTTTCTCCTTTTATAAGAGCACTCCCTTGTACCATATCAAAAAAATATTGCTCCTAGTGCAAAATGTAAATCCTATTTAAAAAGTGCTTGATTACCTCCCCTTTCATAATTTTATAATTAAATTACAATTAAAAAACATTTCCCAATTGTATTGGATAAAATTAATAAGCAAATAGTTTCTTTAGTGCCTACTTACCAATACATGTAGTATTAAATTAACTGGACCTTGGATCACATGAGTTCACAGTAAACTATCTTCAATCTAAAATATCATTCAGTAAATTATAAAGGTCACATTCAGTTGCTGTTATTTTCATATATGTATGTATATAAGTTATAACTTTTTCTGTAGACTATCCACTGACCTCAACTCGTCTCTATTTGTATTTGGTTGGTTGCTGTCTCATTGACATATTCCTCATATTTTTTGTTTGTATTTCTTGGTCAACCACTATTTCTTTATGCAATTTATAGTGCAATGATTTCATGTTACGTTTTGCCTTAACCAACGTTGCTATTAGTGCAAAATGTTCATATACATTGCAAAGGAAATAAAAGCACTGATATAATGCTACTTGTAATGAAACAAGTACCTTTTAAATATCTCCCCTTTCAAAATTATATCATTTACAAATGAAATACACTATGAACAAACTCTAGTAGACATTCCTATACAATTTGACTACAATGTTTACTTACCAATAGGTATGACTTGCCCTAGCCTTCAGCTACATCAGCGCATAGTATTATTATATCTTCAAACTAAAAAAAACCAAACTGTAAATTAGTAGGTCACTTTTATTTTGCTACAAATTATTTTCATATATATCTAAAAGTTTGAATTTCTCTGTAGACCATGTACTGACCTCTACTTGTCTCTTTTTGTATTGTTCAGTTGCTGTCTCATTGACATATTCCTCATATATTTTGTGTTTGTATTTCTTGGTAAACCACTTTATTCTTTATACAATTAATGTTGTGATGATATCATTTTACTTTTTGTCTACTAATAGAACGGGTGTAATTCTACTTCTAATGGAACAATTCTTGATTATCTCCCCTTTCAGAGTTTTTTCAATTAGAATTAAAATTTATTCCTGAATTTTGTTTGATTAAATGAATAAGTAAAAGTTCCTATATATTTGACTTCAATGCCACAACTTACCAATACAAATGTAATAACAACTTAACGTGGCCTTGAAACACATGACATCAGTACACAGTAGTTATTAGCTCTTCAAACTGAAAATATAATTGAATTATTAAGGTCACATTCATTTTCAGATACTGAAACCAATAGTATATATCAAATGTATGTATTTTTATTTTTCTATATCTTTCTCCTTTTATAAGAGCACTCCCTTGTACCATATCAAAAAAATATTGCTCCTAGTGCAAAATGTAAATCCTATTTAAAAAGTGCTTGATTACCTCCCCTTTCATAATTTTATAATTAAATTACAATTAAAAAACATTTCCCAATTGTATTGGATAAAATTAATAAGCAAATAGTTTCTTTAGTGCCTACTTACCAATACATGTAGTATTAAATTAACTGGACCTTGGATCACATGAGTTCACAGTAAACTATCTTCAATCTAAAATATCATTCAGTAAATTATAAAGGTCACATTCAGTTGCTGTTATTTTCATATATGTATGTATATAAGTTATAACTTTTTCTGTAGACTATCCACTGACCTCAACTCGTCTCTATTTGTATTTGGTTGGTTGCTGTCTCATTGACATATTCCTCATATTTTTTGTTTGTATTTCTTGGTCAACCACTATTTCTTTATGCAATTTATAGTGCAATGATTTCATGTTACGTTTTGCCTTAACCAACGTTGCTATTAGTGCAAAATGTTCATATACATTGCAAAGGAAATAAAAGCACTGATATAATGCTACTTGTAATGAAACAAGTACCTTTTAAATATCTCCCCTTTCAAAATTATATCATTTACAAATGAAATACACTATGAACAAACTCTAGTAGACATTCCTATACAATTTGACTACAATGTTTACTTACCAATAGGTATGACTTGCCCTAGCCTTCAGCTACATCAGCGCATAGTATTATTATATCTTCAAACTAAAAAAAAACAAACTGTAAATTAGTAGGTCACTTTTATTTTGCTACAAATTATTTTCATATATATCTAAAAGTTTGAATTTCTCTGTAGACCATGTACTGACCTCTACTTGTCTCTTTTTGTATTGTTCAGTTGCTGTCTCATTGACATATTCCTCATATATTTTGTGTTTGTATTTCTTGGTAAACCACTTTATTCTTTATACAATTAATGTTGTGATGATATCATTTTACTTTTTGTCTAACAGAAGGGGGTTTTACACGTAAACCACTCTATTGTATTCCATTTATTTTGCAATCATATATTTAGCTCTATTTGTCTCTTCTGTGTGAGTAACTATTGGTGCTAATTATTAATCCTATTCATAAGAATAAAAAAAGCACTGATGAAATGCTACTTTAAATGAAAGCTTCTGATTATCTCCCCTTTAACAAATTTTATCATTTACAATTCAGTATATTTCTAAAAAAAATAATTTTTAAATAAAAAGTTTACTAAAATGTTCACTATAATAATCATAATTATAGATTTATTGACCCATAGAACCAGAAAAACCTAAATTTATGTAAGGGTTTTCAGACAAATTTCCTATTAAATATTCCTATTGGATTTATAATAGTATATAGGCTTGTAAATTTATAAGCCATTTATTTTGTGTCATATAGCTTTGATGTTTATGTAAAACTTTTTAATTAGAAACTAAATTGTACAAGTCTTTAAATATATTTTTGTTTTTCGAAATTGTGAAATTTTTTTATTCACCACCTCTCTTACTTTAGGTATGGCATATACCTATTTTACCTAAAATACTATCAACCTATCCATAACTTTAAACAATTAAGGCCACAAGTTCTATCTTATATTAATTTCCATGATCTTAAATTATTTTTAAGGATTTAAACTTTGCTAAATTTTTGTCATCATCTCTAATTGACTAGGTTAGGAATGAAAGTTTATTCTTATAGTTTGGTTCCAGTTTCGTTGTAAAAATAAAGTGAGATAAGTAGTTAGGATTCATTTTTCTTTTTATGTTTTTATTGTCAAAATCCAGAAAAGTCATGTTTTCACCGAGATGGTTTCAGTATTGTACACGCCCCTACCCTACCGGAAGTGTACCATTACTATGTTTGTTTGGCAAAATAAACAGAATATTACGTTTTAAGTTAATTTTGTTGCATTCTAATTCGATTTTTGTTATCATTTTAAGCCCAAACGGATACTTTTAATTGAATTTCAGATACCATTAGTCTGTAAATTTAATTATTAAAGTTCACATTCCTCAAAATGAGATCGTTCAAAGTTATTTTTTTGAAATGAAAGAAAACCTCGAGGGTCCGGAGGGGAGGGGGGGGGGGGGGACTGGGATGGGTCATGATATTCCTTGCTTTTGAGGGTCACCCATGCTATTTTCAAGCTGTAAATAAATCGTAAAATAAAATATTTTTGGAGCAATCTGGGACTATTAACGTGTTAGTATAATAGTCTCAGGAGGAATAGAAGACACTGAGAACTTTAAAATAAATATTCAGGCTCTATAATGTGCTTCCAGGAAGAAATAAAAGAAAATAAAACGGTATCACAAAAATGATTCTTGCTTCAAGCATGGCAAGTAAAAAAATATCGTTACCATCCCTTCACAACATTTTTACTATCTCCTTAGTATGTCGAACAGTCGAAAATTCAATCTAAATGTTTGGTAATTGTAAACAAAAGTCCTGATAACACAGTAAATCAACTAGTTTTCTTTAAAAAAAAAAAACAAACAGCATTGCTCATAAATTTCAATTTTGTCTCATAATTTGCAGCGTAAAATTAATCAAAAATTAGACTAATATTGTGCGTATTGCTCCTTTATATATTAACCCAAGGTGTCAGTACATGTAGTTAATCTATCTACCTTTTAAAATGTAAAACTACCAAATTTGTTAAAATGGCCGCAGCTTTCTTCTTGTTCAAGTACCACGTTCTTTCTAAAACAGCAAATGAGAGTGTTTCCGAAAAGACTTTTAATCTTTAAATAAGCTAACAGCACACTGTACAGTATATACAGTATAATTTGTTAAAATTCAAAAAGAAAGCGAGTGTTTCCGAAAAGACATTTCATCTTCGAATAAGCTAACAGCATACTGCAGCATACTGTACGGTATATACAGTATACGTTGTTACAATTTCAAAAAGGCTAATAACACTAATAACTTTCTTATTGATGAAGCAAATAGTTACCCTATCCTATAACTATTTGCTTTATCAATAAGAAAGTTATTAGTGTTATTAGCCTTTTTGAAATTGTAACAACGTATACTGTATATACCGTACAGTATGCTGCAGTATGCTATTAGCTTATTAAAGCAGTAACAGGTTTTGCTAGACATCCGTAATTTCCGTTGCAGGAATGCTTACTGATTTGTTTCGGAATTAGGTCATCACTTCCAGAACTGCTTCCAATAATATCCAGCCATTGTTTACTTTTCACCAGCAATCAGCACTTAAGCTACATCTATACTTGTGTTTCCAGTAGTCTTAATTTATATAGTAATGGCATTATTTCAGGTATAGCTTATGAACTTGAAATTACTGGTAATATCTAACGATAAAAGACCAGTTAATGGTGCTTTTGAGATAGCACGTGGTGGGCAGTGTTTTCATTACCATTATACTCTTACGAAAATGTTCCATTTGGATAAAAATGATCGACAAAGAGTTCTTTCATATTGATAAAAATGAACTATTTAATCCGCCCGTCTATGTATTGTACGTGGAGCCGTTACTCATTTGTTACTAGTGACGTTTGTTAAAATAAATTTGAAAAATCCTTGAACTACACAGTTGAAGATTTAAACGTGCTTTTAAACCTTCTTCTAGGGCCTATCCTTTTTTTTTTTAAAGAAGCATTAATGAGATGCATACATTCCTTGAAAACGGGATATATTCAGATCATTACCGACATTTTTGTGATTATAAGTTTGCAAGAGAGATAACTCTTCATGAATCCTGATTTGTTAATTTGATATTTTGAATGATAAATAATTTTGATTGCATACATTTGATTTTTTGTTTGAAGGATCAACCATTTTGCCTGCATAACCTTGTATAACAACGGTTATGAAAACAGTAAAATACGATAATGGACCTAGAGGTAAAATGTGGAAAATGGTGAAAAATTCGGAGAAAGTAACATTATATGGATGGTACTGTAAATCTTGGACTGATCTACAAGGTGTAATATAAATTATAATATAAAACACCTGATACCAGTTGCAACCGGGAAATTTTTTCGTATTCACTAACATATTTGAATGCTTTGTCGTTAGTAGGGGAAAGACTCCTGAAATATCCCTAGACACAGACATTTTATGAATGCGCCGCTTTAAAGCCTTTACCTGGGGTGATTTGCTGGGAAAAGTGTCATATCAAATTTTGTGGAAAGGATATATATTCTTTTCATAGGAAAAATACAACGAATTGGAAGATTGTGTTTATCACTATAAGCATGATAAGTTAAAACAATAACGCGAATAAACATGATAAAGGAAAGCAACAAAATTACACCTGACCACCAGGCACCATACATCCTAAACATTTATGATAACAATGCCTTTACATGCCTATACTTTCATGTAAATGTAAAATGTGTATGATAATAAAGAGTTCAGCACCACTCAAATAGTATGAAGATGAATATATATAAGGATTATTTTGAATTGAAGAGAATTGAAGAGAACCAATGCAACTGGTCAATAGCAATTAAGCATTATAAAATTTGTAATGATATTCAAAGTTACAAGATGACTGCTGGCTGCATTAGTGATGGCATCACATAGGAAAGAAGAACTTTTGCATTTAAACAAGTATTATGAATTTTTTGGTATTTGTAAATCGTTTACTTTAAACATGTTAAAACAAGTTGAAGTCAATGTAGAACATATTTTAGCTATTTGATAAATACAAAAATGTACATGTACATGTAGTTGAAACATCTGCTGAGGAAATCACTTAACAACTAATGTATTTTTAATTAAGGATTTGACTCAGTAATGCTTTATCATTTTTATGCTTTTCCTGATGTTGATTAATTTTAAATTACTGGTAGTCCAAAGGATGATGACTTAAAAGCATGTTAAATTGGATTTATTTTTTGCCATAATTCAAACTCACTTTCAATTTTATCACTTATATATTTTGAAAAAAAGGCTTTTTTTTAGCTCATTTTAATCATAAGCGTAAAATCAAGAACATCGATCCCTCTGTTTAGTTCCCTTGTGATGATATAGAAGGGGATCAGGTTTGCACTCCATTAATTAAATCATTTGTCTGTCTGTCCACATTCAGTCCAGCAAATCAGTTTTTCACTTTTTTTTTCTTTGTGCTTGAAGATATTGATTTGATATTTGGTGTATTGTTTTATCATGACAAGTTACAGATCAACTTTATATTTTGTTCTGGTGTGATGATTTTGTGCAGAGTTATGGTCCTTTGACTTTGAAAATTCATTCAAATAA